TAAAAATGCAATTAAAATAGGCGATTAAACTTATGAATTAAAGACAATGGGCAATGGGGTATTTCAAAAGACAATGATTAGCGGGATAAACGAAACGAGGAATTCATAAATGAAGAACCATTCTCAACTATGAACACAATTCTAGACTAACTCTTTTTCAAGACATTAGCCACTAAATTCGACTACTCAACTACTAAACTTTCGTTTGTAGTTTCCTAATCAAATTCGCATTAACGAGTTGGTTCATTTCGTTCACAATGCGTTCTAACGTCAACTTTCGTTGGTTAGAAACACATTGCTCAATTTACATTCATTCAGGCATTCTATCGAACACTTTTGATGCATAGAAAAACCTCGAATCTACAACAGGGTGATCAATCCTATTCTAGCATTAAAAACTTGTAATTCGAAGAATCTAATGATAGAGAATTCCCTATGACAACCTATTCACTAATCCATTGACTTTCTACTTAGAACCCTAAAACCCAATTAAGAGACTACTCACACATATTGAAAAGAACAACACAAAAAGATGTAGAAGAAAACATGATTGAATTGATAAATAAAGAAAAAGGGTTTAGAAATCTTCTCCAAAGTGTCAAAGAGGATGAATTTCTAGAATCCCCAAAAAGCTTACAAAGAGAAGTCTCAAAAGTTGCAGAGAAAAGAACGTCAATGAGAAAATTAGGTCTCTGGGGTTTTTATACCCAATTACAGAAAATAGGAAATAAAATTGGTTAAGGAAAACCAAACTGGGCGTCTAGGGTTGGATCGATCGATCCAGTGGGTGGATCGATCGATCCCGCATCACTGGAAACTGCTCCTTGTCCGTCAGAGGGATGGGATCGATCGATCCAAAAGCTGATCGATCGATCTGGATCTTCTGGTCTCCAACTCCGCAACTGCTTCAAATGCTCGGCAGAATGACCTGTCTTCACTAATTCGGGTATAACTCTTGAATGCACCGTTCGATTTCCTTCAAACCACTTGGAAACTCAAGCTAACATCTTCATATAGCTTGTGTCAAAAATGCAGAAAGCTCTAACGGTGGAAAGTATTCCATCTGAGGCCAAACGTCTGATACTTCTAAACGGAACTGCATCTCCAAAAGTGTGTTTATATCCCAAAACAGCTCGTTTTCCTCCGAAGCAACCTAAAACCTGTAAAGACTCGATAAAGGACTAAAAGACTCTAAAAACACACTTTGACTCTATAAAATATATAATATTGGAAAGAAAACTAAGACTCAAAACAGATAAAAACACAACATATCAGAGATCATCTCTTGCAGAGAGGCAGTTATTTGCACGGCTTTCCCACATGTAGCAATTGTTCTCTGTTCTCTTTCCTCCTAGCACAATGTCACCGGTTTCATCAATGATCTTGCAATCTTTCTTAGTAAAAGTTACTTCTATCCCTTTGTCACATAACTGACTTACACTAATGCAGAGCTTCCTCAGCTAATGAATGTTTAAACCACGGACAAGGTAAATATTCATTAGCTGAGGAAGCTCTGCATTACTCGTTTTTCCTTTTCCTTTTATATCTCCATGACGTCCATCACCAAAAGTAACTTTTCCTCACTTTATCTTCTTCACATCTTGTAAGTAATCTTGAGTGCCTGTTATGTGGTGAGAACACCCACTATCAAAGTACCATGGACCTTTATTCTCACATTCTTTAGTGACTAAGGTCATACTGCATTTTGAATCCTAGTCTTGTTTTACTTCATGTATCTCTTCCGGAAATATATCTCATTAGGTCTAATTTCTTCACCCAAATTTGATTTTTATACCCATTCCAGAAGTACTTCCGTTGATGTCTGGGTTTTCCTACTTTCTCCCAAAACTTGTAACAATGGACTTTTATATGTCCATTCTTTCCACAGAAGTAGCATCCGGTATTTCTTACAATATTCTCTTGAGTATGATGAGATATACCTCCAGACACAAACCTGATTTGTCCTATGTTTGATTCTCCGTGACGAGTATATCCTAGACCTCTGTTTGATTTTTCTGTCCTTCCATAGCTTAGAATTTGGTCAAGTTGTTTGGTTCCTGCAAAAATGTGAATTTTCCGATGTTGTTAATCAAGTTCGGTTCGTAGTCCTACAGAAATCTTCTTTTAGCAATTAGTTCCTTCTCCAAATTATCTGCTTTAGCTGACAAACTCAGCTTCTCTTTCATCAGACTTAAACTTTCCTTACTTATCTTCTTTTCGTCTTCTAGCTATTGATTCTGAAGTAATTCAACTAGTGTTTCAAGACGAGTCTTTTCTTTTATTAGATCATGATTTTCTATTCCAAGTTTAATCAATGTTTCTCTTACCTCTTTGTAGCTTTCTGGAAAATCAACCTTCTGTTCTTCATCTGAATCAATATCAGTGTCTTCTTCTCCATCCACAAACTATGTGATGCCTATTAAAGCAACGTAGTTTAGGATCTCTTCTTCTTCACTTTCTTCATCTGATTCATCTTCAATAACAATCATTGATTTTTCTTTTCAGCTTTTCAAGTTACTAACACATTCGTCCTGAGAATGTCCCATTCCTTTACATGTTGAGCATTTATTTTCACGTTTCTTGACAGTTGGGCATTCACGAATAAAATGTCCATATCCTTTGCATTCGTGACATTGCATATCAGCTTTTCTTGATGGTTTATTATCATCTGAATTCTTCTTGAATGAACTAAACCTCTTTTGTCCCTGTCCTTGTTCTGCTCTTTTTAGAACTCGATCAAACTTTCAAACTAACAAACTCAATGGATCTTCTTCTTCTAGTTGAGATTTATTCTCGCAGGAAGTTAACGCCAGCCCTTTAGGTTTCTTAACTCCTCCTAACTCTAACTCATGTGCTTGAAGCATCCCAACCACTTCACCAAAACTGAGCGTATCTTTGTTGTTGGAGACGGTTAGAGCAGTTTTGTATGCCAAAATCTTTGGTGGCAAGCATCTTAGGAATTTCTTGACCAACTTCTTGTCTTTGTACTTCTTTCCAAGAGTCAATGCTTCTTGAGCCAATGAGCTTAGTTTGGAACTAAAATCTGAGATCAATTCATGCTCGTCCATCTTTAGATTCTCGAACCTTGAAGCTATCATATCTTTTCTTGATGTCTGAACCTAAACCGTCCCTTCATAGTGTGTTTGCAGAATGTCTCAAGCTTCTTTGGCAGTTTCACAACCTTGAATTAAGTCAAACTGCTTCCTTCCAACGCTGCAGTGTATGGCGGTAAGAGCCCGAGCATTGAATTTAGACTTCTTCATCTCCTCTTCTGTCTAGTCTGTTTCTGGTTTGGCCGTGAAACTTCAATCTTCATTCTTAATCTTTGGTTCTTCCCACTTAACCAAGACAGCCTTCCATGCGAACACATCTATGCCTCTTATCACAGATTTGATCCTTGATTTCCTAAATCCGTAATTACCATCGTCTAGAACAACTTTAGTGTTATTAACCAACTCTTGATAGCTCTCCATCTCTTCCACAAGATCTCACTTGTATGCAATCCTCACAAGTGACCGCTTTGATACCAAATGAAAACGCAAGAGCTATAGAATGCTTGAATTAGTTCTCGATGTAACACAGGTTTTCTCAAAACTTTTTTATTAATAGAAAATATGTTTGCAAGGTTTCTCCTTAACACTATTTTCTATTCTCTCTATCACTTGTTCTTCCATCACACACGATCAAGAACAAGAACTCTCTCTCTAAACCCCTAAGCCCTCTTTAAGTCTTTGGCTCTCTTTTCCTTAAAAGCTAAAACTTCATTGTTAGGAATTCTTTCTCTTGTTTGTGCTAAGCTTTGTTCAAGCCTTAGCACTCTATTTATACTAAATAGGACGAGGTCATACAACAGACCAATTTCCAATCTTAAAACTACTCAGAATGGACAATTTCCTTTTTCTTTGAAGAATAGGAAATTGTCCTTTGTCTTCATGTTTCCTTTTCCTCCTATATGAAAAGGAAACTCTTCAGTCATCTAGAATCTTTTCCAAACTTTTAGTATCCATAGCCAATTATCATAGACCGACTTACCAATTTCCATATGCTCGCTTCACGTTATTCTGTTCTCTTGAACTACTTTTTGAGGTACTTTGACTTAGTACAGCAATTCCTTGAGAGGTTGCATCTTCAAAAACAAATGCGCAACTTACAACACATAAACGCAAAGCCCAAAGTGAAAGAGGAGACGAGACACTGCATCACAACCATCCCATATTAATTTCAAATATATTTGTTTTTCAAGCTACTGAAAATTTTATCATGGATACTCTACAATTTGTTTCATAAATAATGAATTGTGGACTTCTAATGTAATTTTAAATATATTCTGGTAAAATTTTGGTATGAATTTATGACGTTTTACAAAATAAAATAAGTAACATGTTTTTTAGCGATGCTATTCTTCGGTCATAACTTCAATACACTAAAATTTTTGTGGTTTTAAAGCAAATAAATATATATCAAAAAAAATAAACAACTTTCATTTTTCAGCTTTCTTTTATCGAAATTAATCGGTATTAGTATTTAGAGATATCAACAAACAAAATATGTTTTGATACGAATAATAATACTCCCTCTGTTTCGTTTTATTTTTCAATTTAAAGTGAAAATTTTGTTCCATATTATTTGCCGTTTTGTATTTACAATAAAAATTTATGACAAATATTCCAGTTTTAGTCCTACTTTTAGGTTTATTAATTATTTTTATGAAACAAAATAATGTATTAGTTAGGGATAAACAATAAATTTAATTATTTTTTTAATTTGTGTGAAATAACTTAGAACGATAAGTAATGTCAAACGGCGGGAGTATGTGATATCATATGTCTACCAGCTTTAAAGGTTCATGTAAATGATAAATGGAAAGAACATGTTGAAACTATTTATTCCATAAAACATATACAAACAATGGTATAATTTTCGAGACATATATATTCCAAACCATTTTATTAGCCTCCCTAGCTCCGCTCGATTTTTAGATATTATTAATGTTAGAAAATACACAATGAGGTCTTTTAATATTTCTATTAAACCATACGAAGACACATCTTCTTGATATCTTCGAGCATACTAATTAAAAAATATAGCCTCCCATGTAAAAGCCAGTATAACTATAATCCCCTGAGCCACACGATGGGGCCTCAATTCCGCTGCCTGGAAACTTCTCAGCAATATCTGCAGCTGTCCTCTGTCCTGAGCCACCACCGAAACCGTGTGGATCATCATCGTCTATATTCCACAAGCTGCCCCACAAGTGACCTTCATCGATCATAGAGTGGTCGGATGAGGTTGTTGCAACACTTTGAGGCATAGAAAATTGGTCATCGAAGACACTAGTCGGGTAATACAACGAAGACTCTATGTTTTGATCGTTGTCGATATTCATGTGGTCTTGGGACACTAGTTGAGACTGATGATTCTGCGGTTGTGCTTGTGGTTGCGGTTTAAGATCCACTTGTTGTTTCCGGGATAGAGATCTTTTGACTTTGTCTTGCTTCGAAGAAAATTTTTCTTTTTTCTTGTAATGTGTTCTCCAGTAGTTTTTTATTTCATTATCTGTTCGTCCTGGTAAATATCTTGCGATTGTAGACCACCTATATATATTTTGTGAAAAATGATATGTAAATGAAGAGATTGAATAAATACAAAAACCAAACGTATAGGTACACTAATACAAATGTATGATCATAATTCATAAACAATGGTTTAGTTAAAACTTTGGGGTAATTGTATTTGATTCTTTATAGAAAAGCATTTATAAATATATATTATCAATCTATTATGTAAGGTTTGAGTTTACCATTTACTAGAGAATTTTAAGAAAGAAAAAAAAACAAAGAGTAGCTTACTTGTTACCCCAAAGGGAATGAAGTTCAAGGATGATTCCTTCTTCTTGAGGAGTGATTTGTCCTCTCTTAAGCCCTGGCCTCAAGTAGTTCACCCACCTTAGTCTACAGCTTTTACCACTTCTATTCAACCCTAGTTTTTAATTCCATGAAAACAATGGAGCACTATAAATGGTTTGACATATAACATGTATATATAAAAATTTAATGCAACTTGATGATATGAGTATGTATCATTCCTATTTTAACATTATCTCGACCAAAATGCTGGAATAAAAAAGGTATAATATATGTAAAATGTTCCCAAACTGATCAAAGTCAACTCCAGAAAACAGGGAATCATGAGATCATCTTGTGATTTTCGAAAAAAATAAACCCTAAAAGCTCCCCACCATGAAATATTGTCCTCTTTCTTTTTGTGAAAAGTTTGAGAATGCTTATAGAAAAAAAAAAAAAAAAAGATTAAAGAAACAAGAATGAAATATGTAACCACGAGCTTAATAAGGTCAACTATACCCCATATCGTATATGATCTCACACTTATCATTTTTAATCGGCATAAAAGCATGTTTTATTTAGTTCTATTTAATTATTATAAATTAAATATGAATTTCATTGAAAAAATACTCAACTAGAAAGAAGATCAAGATCACTGGTATAATTCGATATGGATTCGCTTACTAATTTGTCTACGAGATTATGATCAAGCAAAGATGAAGATTATCTAAGTTCTTATAGCCATGATTGTATTAAAATAGTTACCTGCACACTTAGCAACAGTGCTCCATCTTCCTTCACCATGTGAAGTAACATACTCCGCGAGAAGCTTATCTTCTTCAAGTGTCCATGGTCCCTTTCTACATCCTTGTTGTTGATGTTGTTGTTGATAAAGATCATGATCATACTTTTGATGATGGCCTTGAACTCCCCAATCAAGCATACTTGTTCAATTCTTAACACTCTTTCACACACAAACCAAAACTACAACTTCTGTCTTTGTGAGACTGTTTCTTAATTTGCTCTTCTTTGTGTATGTTTATATGTTTGTGTTTCTGCTTGAACATGTGCGTGTGTATATAAATAGTATGTGTATCTCTATTTATGCTTGACAACAGTCACTTCTTACTTTTTGTGGGTGTTTGATTTTATATATTTTATTTCATTTACTTTACTTAGTTAACCATGTAGCATATGCATTATCATTAGCCTCATCAATTATAAATTTTCTTACTTAAGTTCCTCAATCACGGAAACAATCTTGAGAAGCCACTATTCTTCGAACAAGTGTCGATACCATAATGAGAACCAGCTCATTATTTTCTTACCCAATTAAGATTTTACAAGTACCCTCTTACCAAATCCATACATAGATCCGTACAATAAAATTATTCGTCATCACCCAAAAAAATATTCTTGAACAACAAGGTTTTGTCTTTGGACACTTAAAAAGTGTCTTATAGACATCATCACAGAGGCATAACTTTGTTCTGGATTCAGTTCTTTGGGGAAAAATATATATTGTTAAATATATGAGTGGGTTGTCTTTAAATTCTCGAAAAGAACTTATGAGCCAGTAGAATCTCAACATCTGTGTAATAAAATAATGGAAAAAGAGGCATGCTTTAAGAGTAATTTGTGATTAGTTTATAAATATAAAATTATAATTATGCTCTAAATAATGGGCCTAATGAAGTGTATACTAAATCGGGAAATATAAAAATCAGAAAATGCCTTCCATACAATAAAGTATGGGATGACTCACCTTGTATCCATGTGGCCTTTCGGCTATACGTATCAACATTTATGGCAATGTTAGGGTTTTCTTGAATTAGTTAAACCGATTAACCAAAGATTAAACGATCTTCTGTCTTTTTTAATCTGAATGTTTAAACTTTTTTACTTTCAAGATTCTAACTTGAAAACTAGATTAAGAAAAAAAAAAGTTCCCTTACGAAATTTAAAAAATGATCCTTGAATACAAGTTAATTTATCATAATTATGATTTTGTTTTTGTTTTTTTACCTTTTAATCTTTTTATGGTTTTGCATATTCTTTTTTAAGAATTTGTTTAATTAGAAAGCTTTTTTCATGTAGCTTTCACTTTACATTTTGAAGTAGAATTTTTGGTCGATGCTATCAGATAAGCATCAAAGACAAAATCTTTAATGACGTAAGAACTAGGATAATTTTTGCTATTAAAGAAAAAATATATATAAAGCTATTCTGACAAAGACTCTACACGTATGGACAACATTTTCATAACAATTATGCACAACAATAATTTGAGGGAAAAAAAAAGCACCCTCAAATTATACAATTAAGTTAATATAAGTAACCAATACAAATTTATATTGAAAAAGAGAAGGTGTCTACTGACATCAGATATAGAACGGTTCAACTGGTTTAAATGCTATGGTATGAGGATAGTTATATTTTTGACTTCTCTCAATAAGTTTTTACTGCATTGTTAATTGTTGTAATAGATTTTCTCTAGTATTTTCAGTTACGTCGACTATTCGACTCATTTTTTTTATCATCAATCCTAATGTATCTATGTATGTTTATATACATATAAATATGTATTTATATATATACTACACATATGTATGTGTGTATGTATGTATGAGTTTGTTTCGAACAAGATACACAACTCGAGAAAAAAAAAATTGAACTACGAATCTTGAAAACAAATACTCCTTAAAAAACTAAATGAAATTGCCAGGTTGTCTTACAATAAGATATATTCCAGATATACTTTATAACTAAAACTAAAATAAGTAAAATTGGTTTAAGATTATAAAGCTTCTAGAAAGATTATCATGGTACATGGTGCTGGACCCTTTTAGTAGTTCGTCACTTAGATTGCTTACTATTTTAGCACTATTTAATTTTATGTGCAGAGATAGAAATGAAATTTCTCCAGCTATTGTTAGCAACATTTTTATTATTATTTTGGTTTCATTGAAATATATTACAGTCCGTCGGTCCACAATCTTCATATCAAAATATGTTATATAAATCAATTTTCGTGTTGATATTCGAATTCGTAATTTCAAAACATATTTTTTCTTGAAATGCCATTTTAAATGTAAATTTTTTATTGATTAATAAAAAAGAATATTTGCAAAGAAAAACCAGCGAAGAATGAATCAATATAAGAATAAGATCATGAGAAACTCTTTAATGAGATCATGTTTTAGATTGTATTGTCGATCATGCGGATGATGAGATGATTAAGAGGATGTGTATATTTGTTTGTGATGTTTTCCATACGTAATACGTAAGATGAATAATAAATACAGGATTATAAATTTTGTTTTCTTGTCCTCTCAATCATTTGGTCTATTGCAACATTAATTTTCTAAGAACCTAGCAATTAACTTATTAGGTAAGATACATACACTAAGATGAAACATATACATAAGGCTTAATTAACTATTTATATGGATCAATTATTTTAGTACTATAAGAAGAAACTTCGAGATGTGACTATGTGAGTAAACGGACTGTCAAATATAGTTTCTATTAATGCAGTCTTGGAGTAAGTTTAAAGAAATGTCTGAACATCTAATCTTTAAATGATTATGAGGTTTATTCTTTTGATAACATCTAAATTCATTATATAATATTAACATGATATATGATTAAAACAATTATTAATTTGATTAACTATGTCAGATAATCAAACTATTACATAGTTTACTTTTTCTTATTACCATTTACTTGTTTCTAATTTTCTGTGTTCAATCACAAGTCCATGACGGAAACTTTTCAAAGCTTTCCTTAATTTAAAATCTTATCCGGTGTATCTTTAAGTTTTCTAAGATTTACAAGTACAAGATAAAACTAAAAATTATGATTTTAATCAACTACATAAAACTTATTTTGCACCAAAAAAAGAAATCAACTACAAATTTTGTCATTAAAACTATGTATTTTAATAGATTGGTCTATTGATCAGATTTATGATCGGTAAATATAGATTTTATTTAAGATTTGTAACATTAGTTATTAGGCTTCAAATTACGGTATAATCAATAAAAACATATATCATTAAATTATAGTATGTAATATAAATTAATAAGCCTTAAATCATTGTTGTGACATCATAAGATTGTAGAGCTGGTCGACACCTCATACGTTTAAAAAATTAGATGTTTCTATCATATTCCATACCAGGACCACAACTTATTAAATACCGTAATGGTATAAAGTAAATAAATGAAATAATACATTTTGACTAAAATAAATTGAAAGACTTGAGGTTCGAGATAGAGCAAAGACCCATTGAAAGTAGTTTGAAAACTTGTTGCTAACGTGTATAGGTCCAGCTACCTTACTATTACTAAAAGTAATATTCATTAATTATTTAGTCTTCTTAAAACAATATTAATTATTCAGTCTAATGTCCCAATTATTAAAGTATATAAAACATTAAATTTAAAATTTAAAACAAGAGAATGTTATTTAGTGTGTGAACAAGGCAAGGCTCACGGGGATTTTATTCCATTTGACAATCTATACTATTAAATCTAGCCCAAAACACATATACTAAAAAAATTGCATCAATAAATTTAAATGTTTTAACATGGAAACACAAATCCGTAGTTCACATATACCAATCAAATTTATTTGTAATAATTTGAAAATTCAACATTAACAAAATTAACATGTGTTTCAGTTTCACCATGGGTAACACACATTTCTATTACACAATATTCACCATAATTTTTTATATAACACTACTTTACATCAATCTAACCTAAAATAATTTTCCATCTAAAATTTTCTCTAATCTACTCTTTAGTTTAAAACTCCAAACTTTGAGTTATGGTTCACAATATTAGCTATTCTGTCATAAACAAACATAAATAACAATCTATAATTTTCTTTGTTCATATTATAATATCTACACTACAATATATATCACTAAAACAGAAAAAAAAAAAAAACTATTGAATATAAATTTTATACAACACATTATTTAAAACCGATTAACTTCGATTCATAATCATGTGTGATATTCGATGAACACGATAAACTCAATATAATCCAAAATATTTTATTAATTAATATGATTTTAGTATAACCAAGAAAGATATCATAATCAAAATCTAAAAATACATCGAGATATCGATCATACGATAATGGTAATTATAAGTCCGGAAACACGTCTTCGAGTCCATAACGACTCGTGCCCTCTCCCTTATACGTTCCGGACCACGTTGTAGACGGTGCATAATCTTCATAGACTCCATAATATAGAACACATCATTCTGAACACACGTACGTGTGGATCAAGATTCAAGATCTAGTATTTTTGTACATTTAAATCAGTGATGTGTCTTTGACTCTTTTTTTTTTTGACTTGAATATACAATTTATTTAAGGGAGATTGACACAAATAGCCCCAAAAAAGTTGTTTTTTCCAAAAATAGCACCTCATTTGAAAAGTTTCACAAATAGCACCATAAACTTCAATTAAACTTAATGAAAATATAAGATAGAAAATAAAAAAGAGAGCAAACACTAATCTAATATTAAATTGAATCAAAATTTTTTTAAATAGTGGAAATATATACCCTAATTTGGAAATAGGGAACCCAAATATAATACCACAAACTAATATTAAAATAAAAATCTCTTTTAAATGGTGAAAATATATACCCTAAATTGGAAATAGGGAACCCAAATATAATGCCATAAACTAATATTAAAATGAATCAAAATCTCTTTTAAATGGTAGAAATATATACCCTAAATTAGAAATAGAGAACCCAAATATAATATTTTAAATTTATTTCTAATTTATTTTGTTGAATAGCTTTTATATAAAAGTTGTGGTATTATTGAAAAAAAAAAAGCTAGTGATAAAATTTTTAGAACAAAAACACTAATAGTAAGTTAACTAGTGCTATTTTTGAAAGTTTATGGAGTGTGTGCTATTATTGTCAATAAAACTTGTTTTAGGGCCATT